TCGTCATTACTTTTGCTTCTGTTTTTCTCCCTCTCTGATTGCAGACTGTTGTCTGCCTGTCTTCCTGGGGGGAAGTAGGCATAAAAGGCCAAGCGGACCCCGCTCCCTCTGAGACTGCAGAGCGAGGGGGCTTAGCCTCCGAGCCACCTGAAGGCCTACAGAGAGCTTGTAGTTCATGACTTGGGGATGAAGTCAAAAGATCAGGAGCCGGGAAGGGGTAGGAGCACAGAAGGAGGTGGGTAAGGAGCCAGGCAAGAAGGAAAGCAAGCTCCAGCCAGCGTCTCTGCCTCTGGGCCTGCCTGAGACGCCCAGAGCTCTGCCCATTGGGTGCTGGCTCTGGAGACCATGGAAGGCCCCTACTCCAACTCCAAATTCACTTTTTTTTTTTTTAATACTGGGGATTGGGTGTTTACACTGAGCTACCTCAGCCCTTTTTATTTTGAGACAGGGTCTCCTTGAGTTGCCGAGGCTGGGCTAGAACTTGCTAATCCTCCTGCCTCAGCCTCCCAGAACACATTCATATTCTTCCTCCCCATCCCCTGCTCTGCATCTCCGAACACTGAGGTCATGCTGCCAGCCTGCCCGAGGCCCGCTGTCGCTCCTCATGAACGCACCTCTGTCCATTTCTGAGCTCAGCCCACAGCCTGTTTGGGGCTGTGCTATTCCCGCTTGGCAGCAGTAGCTGAGCTGTACGCGTATAGCTGTCACAGCTTGCGATATGTTTGCCAAAAGCAAAATGAAGGTAGACACGAGTGACCTGTTGTTTCGTTGGGGGTTTTAGTTTTAATTGGCGTATCTTTGGAAAAGTGTTAATGTCATCCAAACACGGCATGAACTGTGACTGCCTTGAAATACTTGTTTGAAAAGTTTCCTATGGGAGAGGTAAAAGGGCTCTAAGGATCCTTGAAAGAGCTTGTCTGCGCCTTAGAGACTTATTAAAGCAAGCTTTTCATTTGAGTCTGACGTCTGGATTGCGCACTCTGACTTGAAGTCCTTCATTCTTCCAAATGTAAAATGCCCAGCGTCCCAGTGGCCCCATCCAAGGTTCACGCGGTTACAGAAGCCTCCCAGCAGATGCGGCCGGAGATAGAGCTTTCCTGCAGACGCGGGGAAGTGCTCCTACGGCTGGGAGGGTCTGCAGCTGCAACTGCAAGCCCTGCTACCGCTCCCAAGTGGCTCAGCACAATTCTAATGCCAGCTCGGTCTGAATGTACACTGGAATAAGAATGATGCCAGACTTGGTAACACGCCTGCAATCCCAGCACTAGGGAGGCTGAGGCAGGAGGATCACCATGAGTTCAAGGCAAGTCTGCGCTATATAGTGAAACCTTGTCTCAAAAAAAAAAAGAAGAAAAGATGATGGCTGATGCTTATAGCGCTTGCTGTATGTAGTAGGTACAGAATTGGTGCGTTATGTAAACCATGTCATTTTTGTCACCCCCAGTAACAGCATGGGGTAGATTTTGTTTTAAGCCCATTTCACAGATGAGAGAACTAAGAGAGGTTGAGATTTGCCAAAGATCACACACAGCTAGTAAATAGTGGAGCCAGGATTTGAACTCGGGTGTAATCCTACGGTTGGCCTGTGTTCTGGACCACTGTCTTTCTGTCTGCTGGATTCATGAATATTACAGAGTGGACAGTATCCACTGCATCTGAAGTCATAAGGGCCTGAGCACATGCACATTCTCACTGGGAGTATTCTCCACTAGGGACATTTGAAGGACAATTTTGTTGGCCCCTGCACAATTTTCCACAAAATTTCCTCATTTTTGATCATTCCTAGGAATCAAGGACACAGGAGCGCTTGCATATGTGAACAAAAAAATTTACACACATCTTCATCAGCATCATTTGTAGAGACAGTTAATACCCCCTAATAACGCTAGTTAAATGGAGTGCTATGGAATTCTACGTATATGTCCAGAAGAATGATGTGTTTTGCTTTTTAAACAATTAACTGTGTACTCATGAGTATTTGGATATGGCCATTAATTAAACCAGAGCCTTTCCATTCCTTTTTTTTTTTTTTTTTTCTGGTTTTTTTGAGACAAGGTCTTGCTACATATTTCAGGCTAGCCTTACACTCACAGCAATTCTCCTGCCTCAGCCTCACAAGTGCTGAGACCACAGGCGTGCATCACCACACCCAGCCTCTCCATTCCTATAGAACTTAGGTTAGATCAGAGAATGCTTATGCTTCAACAAAAATATTTCTTTTTTTTTTTTCATTGAATAGCATGCATGATCACAAAAAGGAACAAGCTGCTGATAAGACAGATGTTGTGTAGGCGCTGGACAAAATGATTTATAGCCAGAAGCTGTGATACCCACATGTATTAGCTTCAGCTTTCTGGGAGCCTCCACAGAACCAAAATATACAAACAGAATTTCATCATCAGAAATAAACACTAATGGAGAGTCCAAAATATCATTATTGAGGTGTATGCTGCAAAAGCACAATCAATATGTCATTAGCTAGGACCTGAGAATCGAGATTTAATTGTGAAGTAAAGTGAATCTGCAGGACCAGCTACCTCTGTGGCCAACTTAACCTCACCCACACTGATTTTACTTTTTAGTGAAGTATTTCTTCAAGGGCAAAGGACTTTCAAGGAACAGTATTTTGTCACTTACACCTCACATCTTGGACCTAGACCTGGCTTACCATAATTTTGCAGATCTCCAACACTTTGAAAGCTCAACAAGGGCTGGGGATATAGCTCAGCAGCACAAGTGCCTGCCTGGCAAGCGCAGGGTCTTGAGTTTGATTCCTGGTACCAAAAAAAAAAAAAAAAAAGTTCAAGAAGGGAAGAGCTATGGTGTTCAGCATATATGGTATACAGTCTATAACACACACTAGTGAAAAGCCTCCCACATGGTACACTACTAAAGTACTCCCTATATATGGTATTAAGCAAAATTGTTAAAGTCATGGCATAAAACAAAATATGCAATATGGTGTGACTTTTGTAGGGAAGCTGTAGACAGCATGTGCACACATAGATGCATTACATGGTGAACGGTCAGAAAGAGTCACACCAACTGTCACATTCTGGAGAAGAATAAGACAGAAGGCGGGGTAGATGTTGTAGTAGAATATGCTCAGCGTCTACATTGTGTGCTTCTGTGATGCTAAAGTTGTGCGCAGTAAGTGTGTATGATTCTGCAAGTGAAAAGCAAAGGACAGACAAAGTAGCCCAAGGTCGGACATGTAGGCAAAGCCCAGGAAGTAAGATGTGTTCATGGAGGCCGAGGGAGCCATTGATGGGTAGGGAATGGGTATGGTCCGAGTTATGGGCTTGAATGCAGAAGGCCTTGGAACCTGCTGGTATGAGGGGCAGAGCTGGAGGAAGCTCGGAGTCCACTCCAGGCAGCCGGTGAATGTGCCTGGAGGCCAGACGGGCTCCCTGGAGGTGGACCAGGGCTCAGGGGTCAGATGAAGGGCTCTGTGTGACATCCGCACGTTATAGGAGATACAGAGCTGGCATTCAGGAAATAGTTCCTGTTCTACCCGTGACTTTGTGGAAAACAGCTTCTCCCAGTTATTCACCACATATTTATTAGGAGGGATACATTGTAAATAAATAAATCTTCCTTGAGAAATGTAATCACTCAGGTGGCGCTAGGAAATGCTTTTCCTGCAGACTTGTGCACGTGCGGGTGTCTATGTATCTGAAGATTCTTTCCTCCAACCCAAAGTGGGCACCCCAGCGACCCTGCACCCAGGGAGGCTGTGACCTCTGCTGACTCATCCTGTGGGCCTAGCACCTGCCCGCCGCCTCCCCCATGACCCTCTGTGAAGGCCTCAGCCGTGCTGGAGGTGCATGGCCCCTTCCACCTGATGACCCCCCTCCCTGGTGGCAGAGAAGACACACTGGTCTGAGAAGGCTTTTCATCATCCTTGTCCCAGGGTCTGGAAGACACCTCTAGCCTCTTTCCTCAGTTTCCTCAGGGCTGTGAGGTTCTCTAGGCAAGTTATGCAACCAAAGAGAAGTTCACCATTTCATCCCAAATATGTTCCAGGCACCTACTGCCAGGAGCAGCTCTGAGGACTGGGGTGTAGCTGCGGGCCAGCCAAGCAATCTCTGCTCCCCAGGAACTCGGGGATCTGTTCATGTGCCTAGAGAGCTCTTCATTCCCCAGCTGGTGACCTGCTGGAGTCTTCTGTGTATAACAGACGATGCTGAGCCCGAGCAGGGAAAGGGGATGTCTAGGGCCAGCCATCCACCCTAGAGAAAGCCTCTCCCAAAGCCAACTTTGGGCTTGTGTGGGCCTTAAGCTTTGCGAACATCATGACATCTTTCACCCCTGTGTAAAGCTAAGACACCCAACCAGGTCTCAACGTAAAGTGAGATCAATGAAGTTCTGATTTTTACTCCATATTGACTACTTATTGCTTTCTTTCAAAATGTCAATTACTCCTGTAAAAATTATTTCAGGTTCCCCAGGCTTTGATAGCTCTCTACACAGTGTCCAGAGCAAAAATAGAACAGAATTTCATGAGTGGGACAAAATATGTGGACCTTGGGCTTTATTCCAACCTCATTGTCCAAGGGACAGAGTCTCAACAGCAGGGGAGGCCAGAGGTGACAGTCTTTGGGTTAAAGTCTTGGCAGTATTGTGGTGCCTGCTGGCCTGGAGCAGGCCCCACTCAAGGCCTGGACACAGACACATGACTGGCCCTGCAGGCTGAATGCAATCTGGAAGTCTGGCCAAGAAGGTGAAGCCCAGGTCAGAGCTCTGGTTCTAGTAGGGGAGGGCCAGGCTGGAGACCAAAGGAGTGGCTGTGTGGGCTCATCACTGTCCAGGCCAACCAGGCACAAGGGACACTCAGTCCTCCTGATGTTTCCCCTTCATGGGGCAAGATGGTGCACACCTGGGCAGGTAGAGTCTCAACAGCAGGTAAAAGAATGGTGGTAGACAATGTCGCTGTCAAATCCCTCCTATTCCCATGAGCCCAAGTCTGTTCACTAAACACTTGTTGTTCTTTTTTGCAGAGTGATGAGGTCCTCACTGTCATTAAAGCCAAAGCCCAATGGCCAGCCTGGCAGCCTCTCAATGTGTAAGTAGCAAACAGCCCTGGCCCTTCTGTGTCCTATCCTAGCCTTGTACTGGAAGCTGCCTACCTGATGGCTACCACAATCTATTTATGTTATTAAAGTAAATCATGAACCAGCAGGTAAAATACTGCTCATGTGTGGAGCATCGTGCATGCCTCTGTTTTTCCTGTAGTCCTCACTCATGCCCTCAGCCACAGCAGATCAAACATACATTTGCCCTAAGAGCACACAGGTGTACTCCCTCTAAGTGAGTATGATTCATGAAAGCTGGACTTACCCTGAATCCCATTCTCAGTCTCCATCTCTTTTACTGTATGCTCTCCCTTGAGGACTTCATTGCCCTGGAGATTGGTGACCAGAGACATGCTAATAGTTCCCAACCTAGAATTCCCATGGATGGATGGATAGGTGGATGGGTGGGTGGGTGGTTGGATGGATAAATAGGTGGATGGGTGGATGGGTGGTTGGATGGATGAATAGGTAGATGGGTGGGTGGGTGGTTGGATGGATGAATAGGTGGATGGGTGGATGGGTGGTTGGATGAATGGATAGGTGGATGGGTGGGTGGGTGGTTGGATGGATGGATAAGGTGGATGGGTGGGTGGGTGGTTGGATGGATGGATGGATGGGTAGGTGGGTAAGTGGATGGATGGATGGATGGATGGATGGAGAGTGATACATACATCAGATCCATCAGTTTCTTGGACACTTCTCCGTGGATGGCCCACATGTCCTTTAACTCACTATGTCCAAAATGGAACCCATCACCTTCACACAAATCAGTTCTTCCCCATGTGGAGAAACTTCAAAAGTACAGTGAGTCCCAAAGTCCTGTTGACCTTATAAAATTAATCCCTGTCTGGCCATGCTCCTGCCATTAGTTCAGACCACCGCTATCTTTTCATGCCTGGAATACGTCACCTCTTTCTTCTTCTAGAGTCCCTCCCAACCCAACTCCTCATCATATTTTTCCAGAATGATTTTTATAAATCTGATCCTATTGTTTCCTCCTCTTCCTAGAATCTGTCTGTGACCCTTAGCCTCCAGGACCAAGTCCCCACCCTTAGTTTGGGTTACCAGTCACTGTGAACATGAACATACTTTCGTCCCAGCGTGCTTCTCCAGTGGGCTCGTTTCCTCTGGCTCCCCACTCTGTACCTCCCTCTGGCTACCCTAAGTCCTGTTCAGTTCCTTGAACAACTTTTAATTTCCACTCATCCTTGGAGAAAAACGGTTTATGGAAAATGCTTGGCCTGCCCCTCTGTGGAGCAGTCTGCATCCATAACAGTGCTATTGACAGCAACAACACAGGGAATGCACAGATCCTGCTCAGCTGGAGAAAAAGCAAAGGCAAAATGACAGGAAAAACTCACAGGACGTTAGAAGGAACACTCCCCAGAGTGGGGCAGCGGGAGCTCGGGAGGAGGAGCACTCATACCTGGTTAGCCAGAAGAGGAAAGCTGTTGCCTGCCGCTTACTCATTTAACAAACTAACGGCTCCACACACAGCTACTATTGCCAGCCTTATACGCAGTCCCTGCTGTTCGGCTCCGAGAGGAGACAGACAATAAACAGAGTTCCCTCACTCCAGGTCTGCCCTTTGCGTACATCCCGATGGCACCGTATACACAGAATATACAGCCCACAGTGTTGTCATGGTAGACCTGTACACTCCAGGGCCATAAGCAGCAGGGTGAGGATGTGAGCCGTTCCGGAAGCCAGGAGGGGTGGGGCCAGCCTGGGATGGGGAGAGGTCGGCAACGTGCAGGAGTACACATCTGGAACGGGAGGGATGCTCCTTGATGATCATGACTGGCCCAGGTTGGGAGTGCTGAGCCTGAAAGCCAACATCTGAGGCGGGAAAGAGAGCTGATCCTTGGATAGCTGAGAGAAGGCAGCCCAGCTGGCTGAATGGAGACCTTCAGGCCTGCAGTGATCACCAATACTTGCCCCGGAAGCTCACACCTGCTGCCCCCAGCACTCTCCTGGTGAGGAAGTATTTGCTGTCTCGTCTCCATCCCACCAGAAAGGGCCCTGCGACTCACCCTTGGTGCCTTCTGCTTAACTGACATCAGTTAGCAATCAGGTCACCCCGAATCCATTTGCTCCGATTGCGCGGGTCTCCCTGGCTTCTCCTGGTTTCCAGGCCCCAAGAGCTAAATGTCAAAAACCTCTCCAAGAGAATCCTCCAAGAGAGCAGGTGCACAAGGGCAGGTATGGGTTAGGAGCATCCGGACCACAGTTTGTGGGTGCCCATTTTTATATCTCTAAGGAATTCTTAAACTTGGAGGACCTGGGGTTAGGAAAAATGTCACAAAGCCATGTACATTTAGGAAAGAGAAAGGAATGGAGGGAGAGATTAAAGAAAAGAGATGGGGAACTATTTTTACTTCAAGCATCTACTAGTTGCCCAAGTACCCCAGGAGGTACTTACATCTATTAACCAGCTCAATCCTTGTAGAAGCCTTATGAGGTAAACCCATTTTACAGATGGTAAGACTGAGACTCAGAGATTACAGGTTCAGTGTCATCATCCAGGTCCTTCAAGAGTGAAACTGGAGGGCTGGGGATTTAGCTCAGTGGCACAACATCTGCCTGGCAAGCATGAGGTTCTGAGTTCGATTCCTGGTGCCCCCCCCCCAAAAAAAAGAAGAGTGGAACCAGAGCTCCAACCATATCCAGCTGACTGTCTCTAATGTTTTTACACTTCACCATAGTACCATCCCTCTGGTTAAGGAACAACTCACTCTTTTCTCACTTTTTAATTAGTCAAGACATATGTATCTTCCAGTCGGGCCTCTGATCAGCATGAACAGTGTGGCCACATTGATTTGTCTGAATTCTGCCTCAAAAGCAAATGCAGTACAATCTTGCCTTGACTGTGTATCCTTCTCTGTCACTGATTAAACAAATGCTTGTTGAAGGTCTCCTACAAAAACGTGCCATGAAAGGTACTTGGGGATACTGTGGGGCACCTCGGAGAGTTACTTCCTCATGGAGCTGACGTTTAGCAGGGGAGATGTTTGCTCAGTGGTGGCGCAAATAAATGTGACACGGCCGTGAAGGAGAGGCATGAGGTGCCACGGCACTGTGTGAAGGGACCTGAGCCAGCTCGGGGGAGTAGTTGTGGAGGAAATAGCAATGGGCTCAAGATCTAAGGAATCGGGAGTTGACTGAGTAAAGAAACACACAGGGGAGAATACCCTCAAAAACCCAGAGAGACTATGTGTGCAAAGGCCCTCTATGAAGAGGAAAGAGAGGATAGTTAAGGTCTTAAAAGGCTGCGATTGTAACTGGATCCAGAAATCAAACATGAGCTTGCTGTGGGACCAAGCAGGCAAAGTTAAAAATTTTGATTTTTCCATTAAAAGGAATGGAAAATCACTGAAGTGTTTTAAGCAGAAGGATGATATGATCAGATTTGCATTTAAAAAACAATAACACTCTGGCTCGGATGTGAAAAGGTAGATAAGGTGGGACCAGCGAGGAGGCAGATGCAGTGGGCTAGGTAGAAGAGGACTGCTGGTGACTGGGGCGGGTGGGCGGGTGGAGGGGGTGTTGCATAGCTGTGAGCAATGCATTTAGGTTTTTTGTTGTTGTTGTTGTTGTTTTGGTACCAGGAATCGAACTCAAGAACTTGCGCTTGCCAGGCAGACACTTGTGCCGCTGAACTATATCCCCGGCCCCCAGCAATGCATTTAGGAGGCACTGCCCCCAGGCTACGGTGACAGGGTTAGAAGGGGTCAGGGAGACACAGTGGTCCAGATGCTGCATAGGTGTATTGCTAGCCTGAACACGGAATTGGTGGTGCCACCCGTAATACTGGGGACATTCAATGCGTTTGATGGGAAAGCCCACGGGATGGGTTCTGACAGTTCCGTCGGTAAGATATCTTCAAGATATCCAGATGGAAAGCAGGACATGGTGGTGCATGCCTGCAATCCCAGCACTCTGGGAGGCTGGAACAGGATTGCAAGTCTGACCCCAAGCTGGGTGACTCAGAGAGACCTTCTCTCAGATTTTAAAAAATAAAAAGGGCTAGGGATGCGGTTTAGTACAAAGGTTCTGGGTTCAATCCTCAGTTGCCAACCCCCCAAAAAATCCAGAGAGAAGTGTTAAGTACCCAGTCAGTTATAGAGTTCTGAGTTTCAGGGCGAGAATTCTGTGCTGATTTACAGTACTACTCAGTTCACAAACTCAGTTCTCTCCGCGATCCTGCTCCCACACCAAACTGGATGAGAGCCGAATGAAATTTCCCCATAAGGCCAGCCCTGAACCAGCGTTGAATTTGATTCGGTTCTCGTCCAACTCAGTTTGTGACCAGAATCATGGAAAGAATCACATTTGTGAACCAAGGTACCGCTAATACAATTGAGAATCATGGACGAATGGGAGACACCAAGGCCAGAGGCATAGAGGACAGAGAGCTTGAGAATAAGATGGCTGAGGACTGGGTCCCAAAGAGCGCCAACATTTCATGCTGAGGAGAACTTGTGTGCACAGGAAACAGAAAAGAAACAACCAAGAGATCCACAGGAAGCTTGGCTTCCAGAAGAAGCCAAGGGAAGGGTATTCAAGGAGAGCTGTCAGCTGGGGCCCATGCAGCTTGGAGAGCAGGTAGGCGGGGCTACAAAACACTCCTTGGATTTCTGCGTGCACAGGTCACATGTGACCCTATTGAGAACACTCTCCGCTGAGGGACACGGAGACACCGCACACAGCACGTGGAATGTGAACGGGGTTACGGAGTCAGGATTGCGGGCGATTCTTTGGCGCAGTTTGCTGTAAGAGAGAAGAGACTGGGCTGTAGCTCCAAGCAGATCAAAATCAATGGAGCTTTTTTTTTTTTAAGCTATCTTATTTTTTCAAGGTAGAAGAGACTTCCTGGAAAACTGCAAGAAATATTTTGGAACAGCTTCTCACACTTCACCCGTCCCTCAGACTTTCTGCGACCCTAGCAGAACATCATTGGTGGCAAACACTCAGACCTCCCAAACACCCG